TGTCTGAAGAATAAAATTTTTGAGGCAAAAATTGGTTTGCAAGCAATTTGAAGATGAGAATTGTTGGAGTCGTAACAAAAGTGACCATAGTGCTAGGCATGTCAGGTTAGTGAAGGACTAGTTCTTATGATGCTAACTTGGACGCAGCAAAACATTCTTACCGCATTGTATAGTATGCCCAATCCTGAGGAAGCGCTTCTTTCGATGTTCAGCCAGATTTGTGCATTCCGAACTCCAATCCGAATTTTCGTAACCAAAATTCTTCCTGCAAGAAAAAAACTGGTAGAAGGTATAGCCAGTAACAAACGGCTATTCACCGCCAGTAATCGAGTAAGGCATACTACGACAGAAGCGTAAATGTAAAACAAAAAGGTCGGTAACAGTTCAAAATAGCTGCACTAACCAGAACGACTTTATGCCACTGGGGCCGTCGCTACCGGCCAGATTAATATCCTTCCAGTATTGCTCCATGTGATCATTCATTGCGCGAAGCAGAGACAGGTACTCTCTGAAAGAAAGAGGGAATAAAGGCTGGTATTCAAAGATTAACCAACTGAACCAACTTAAAACTTAAAAAATCAAAGAAAACACTGGTTCCATGTTTGGATACGTCAAATTCGAAAAGCCCACTCCGACAAATGTGTTCCAAGACAGCAATGCAACCGTCAGTTTCAATGTCCCATGCTTTTTTTGGAAAAGAACCGTGTACTCTTCAGCATCCTTCTTGTAACCTCCGCTTGTTATAAAATGTAGCATTGCTGCCATTTCTCTAGAGGTTTCGCGGCTCAACAACTTACTAGGCGACTTTATGTTTCGACGTGATCATATTTTGGCCAGAAAAATTAGATTTTGTATGGGCACATAGATTAGTTGGTGGATTTCCGGACTTTCAAGAAGAAGATCACATCGAGTCCTTGGATAGACAGACCGTTCCACCTCAAAACACCATATCGGCTCAATAGCATTACTAGTAGGAACGACAGTTGATCACAAGAAGACCACAGCTTCAAGGGACTCACCATCAGTCACGGAGTAACATTGAAGTAAGAAAAGGCAGCATTGAGATTGTGACGGGAAGATGAAAGAGAGAGCAAGAGCGTATTGAGAACAATGTTTCGTCGAGGAATTGGATGTAAACGCACTAAGAAAACCTTGCTGGACATCTTCGATCTTATGGTACGAATGAGTAATCCAATGTCCAAACGCAGCTTAAAAGCACTCTGTAAGGGCTGCGAGAAATGTTTACAGAGAAAACGTGAAAGATGCCACCTTGGAGAACACTCTGAAGAGTTAGACTGAGGAAAGAGAATCAGGGACAACTAGAAACTGAGAACACAAATGAGGATACCAGCCAAAAGTGCAAAGCGGTAGAAGCTAGAGAACGCTGCTAGCGGAACATACAACGCAACATGGGTAACAGCGAAAAGAACGTGAAGATATAAGGCAAAATCATTGGAGCGCATGCTCACCTTTTATTTTCAAAACTCTGCTTGTTATGGGTTGGTTCCAAAATGGAGTACGGTACATCTACCACTCCAACAACACCGAGACATTTCCTTAAAATGACATTCTAAGAAACAAAATCATGAGGCCAATAACGGAAACACATGTTTGGTAAGCTTTTCATTGGACTACTTTGCTGCTAAGGCTTGCTCCACTTAATATACTCACATCATTAAATCAATCTGCCATTGTTGTACAACATGCAACCGTACCGATTCCTCAAAAAGCAGATTGCGATTTTATGATTCCCTTAAAAAATGTATCCGGATTAAATGATTACCTATGATGGATATTGATCCCAAAGTAGAACGTCAGTGGAATAGGGTTGTTTTTAGCCTGAACAATGATAGAACTAGTTGGACCACTGGAGACCACAATTTGGTAAAAACTGTTCTACAAAAATGAGCACCTTGAGGGCCAACGAGGCTCGCTTTTCTGCTTGTTCTTTTTTAGCTTCCATATCAGCGCGAGCCCTGGATAAAAACTTTCCATTCCTTTCTAAGAACTTTCAAACGTAGCTTTGAAAAACAAACTTTGCAAGGAGTCGCTGCTCTATTCGAAGTGTTTTATTGGCGTGGATATTTTGACCACGATGTTTTGCTTCAAATTCACCAAGGGCTGAGGACGACATACGAAGCATTTCTTTCACTGGAAAATACAGAATTTCTTTGTCAATTTCAAAGAAAACCACCGTTTTTTTCTGCAATCAGTGTCTAAAAAATAAAAGAAAAGCCATGACAACGAAGAAGAGTGCAGCTAGCCCTTCCTTTTTGATTGATAATTATTTCGAAAAGATAACACGAGCATGGAACAAGGACAGCAAAAACATCAATAATTGAGAAAATAAGGGAAAACGAAACTGAAAAATCGTTGAATGAGATCACTAACCCTCTTTCACTTTTTGCTCGCATCTCTCGAATTCCTTAGTGGCACAAGCTTTTAGATTTTTAGCAGTATAACTGTATTTATATGGGTACAGTAAAGTACTTAGAATTCTCCTCGTCAAAACTTTCTTGCCGCGAAGGTAGACCTAAAGCAAAACTTCAATTTCTTACCTAAAGCTAAGCAATGCAACTCCGTTATTTGAAAAATCTCCATACCTTCATTCGTGGGTTGAGATAAAGCACTGATAAATATGCTCTCAAAGAGTTTCGCTCTTCTTCCCTAAAATGATTACTGGCGTGACTAATGGCAGAGAAAGAGTTCCAGAAATCGTGATGAAAGACAAAAGAAAAGCACGGATAAAAGGAAGAACGGCGCTTAAAAAATCACCTCTGCTCCTCGAAGCTGGATAGCCGCACATCATATGGCGTGTCGAAATTTAGTTCGAAATCTCCAGTTTCGATACGACGCATGTTGAACAGCACAATTAGTGTACCCGACGGGCCGCTAATGCGTTCAAACTGTTCGAAAAGTGCGTCCTTAAAATGGTTTGACATGAACAAAGAAATAAGCTAGGAAAATTAATCAGTGAATCTAAACAAATAGTAACCTGAGAATCAAAAGGGGTGTAGTTGTAGATCACATCCATTGATTGCGAATGCTAAATGAAGAACTTCTCTTAAGTAAACAAATAACTTAAAATTACCACAAATACCTGTAATGAAAACGTACCATTTTTGCCTGTGTTTGTGAATCACAATACATAGCCCGAGAACCACCTTCTAATGTGAACGAGGCAACTGGCACAAAAACCTATAACAGTGTTTCGTTCAATAAAAACTGCAAAATAATGAGGCACTTTCGCTGCAGACGATGCTGGCAGTGAACAATAGCAAAGTAGAGCTCACTTCTTTCAAGGAATACATTTCATGAAATGTTCGTGATAACAACAAGCAAGTCAGCAGACCATCCTTCTTTGTAAACATTATAAAGTCCTTAGCAATACGCATTGCGCCACTGAAATTAAACAATCAATCGAAAGAAAATTTGAGAACTAACATGAGGAAAATGTTGTTCAACACCCTACACATCATACACTCACGATTTCAATCCATTTCCGTATTGCCCAATCATGCCCGGCTCCATCCTTTTGAGGGAATGACCAAACGATACCACAGAAATAGCCTGGGAAATGAGGGTAACTTCCATATTTCTGTTGGATACTGTTGACAGAAATCTTAACAATTTATCAAAACACGTACTCAACAGTTGTCGACAGACAGACTCGAGGTAAACTACTGGCCAGAGTTGAACAACTCCACTTAGGATTGTGAAGATATGTTTTCATAAGAACCACTCAAATATGTACCTCTTTCCTATCCATGCCGCATCCGTCGTCAAGTATGGATAGCATTCCACCATATTCTTCGTTTGGTGCTGAAATAAGAAGCCTTAGCCTTGCTCCTCTACTATTCTTCACACTTTGAAATCATGATTCCCAAAAAAGCAGTGTAGTGCAGATAATGAGAAAAACAAAGCAAAAGAAGCTCCGAAAATTGTCATATCGAATTTTATAGGCGCTATATGAAGATTGTCATTGATGAGCATGGCATGTTAGTGAAAGCGAGAAACTCACTGTAGTCGATATGTAAATTGTTTGCCATAGCATCTCGAGAGTTGTCAACAAGCTCTGCTATCGCACCATAGACGAACTCGTGAGTTGTACTGAAATTTTGAACAGCCGTATAGAGAGTGACTTCCGAAATCTTCGATTGAGTACGCTAAATCCATCCCCTTCTTCACCCCAACTTCAGATGAATCACAAAAATCGGTTTTACAGTAGAACCAGTGACCAAGATCACCAACTCTGCTGAGTGGTGAAGGATAGAGATAAAGGAGCGCCCCGCCGATCATACTCTGGACCCGATAATCGTACCCTTAACAAAATCCTAGTTCTGCTCGTAAAAAAAGACACACAACAAGGGCAGACAGAGCGGCACACCATAAACCACCACGAAAGCGGTAATTTTTGCATGTATGTCCGATCTAAAATTCTCGAAAATCTACCCTACACAGTCGAGCGCTGATTTTCTTTACTGAATGTAGTCTTTACGATTACTGGTTGGAAAGATGCAGACAAACTAGTATCTTACCGCATCTTTCCAATCAAATGATCAGCCTTGTAGGCCTATTTTAATTTGTTTTTTTTTCTGACCCACAATAATACATTTACAAGATCAAAAATTATTGTATGATGCAGAACATAAAAATATCTCCCCCATAAAAATTTCGATTCCATTACTTTGATCGTCATATACGTCTAAAATGTAGCTAGAGTTGAACGCACTAAGGTCAACTAACCAAGAAACACAGCTCATGTTTGCTTCAGGCAGAGAAATTTCAGGGAATTTCATGTTCTCAAGGTCTGCTCAAAGGTTCCTTAATCGAAAAAAAAAAACTAAGTAGAAGCAACGAAAAATGCATAACGAAAAAAAGGAAAATGGAACAATAAATAATACCTATTCGTGTGCAGGTACTCATAGCTGATTGTCGCCTTGTGAAAAATCGAGGTGTCGAAACTCGCACCGACGGATTCGTTTGAACCCGATTCGGACGACGTCATTCAACCCTGGAAATTGCCCTGAATGACATTTTATCACTCAACATTCATAGCATCGGGAATTGACCTCAGAGCAATCGAAAAGAGTAACCCAAGATATGAACACAAATATAGATATGACCGGAAAGAACCGGAGGCTTCGAAGAAGGTGAGCTGATGACAATATTTATTAGCGCACGATATGTATGTTTTTACTCGTAATGGGAAAATCCTTAAGTTCACAGTTAGAGAAACACAAGACAACAAATACAATTCAAATATAATTTGGCACTACATGAACAGTTCAGAAATATTAATGATAATGAGAAACGAAAAAAGGAGAACAAAAATCACAAAAAATTGGACAACAATAGGTCTATCTAAAGTGACCGTTTTTGAAAAAATCCTAGAAATCTATGGAAAAAATTACCTTTTTATCCCCATCTCACCGATTTCAAACCGAGACAAACCCGTTAAATGCGCTTGAAGATGCGCCACTTTCTAACAAGTAGCTACAAGCTACGCTTAAGCACCAAATGCTCAGCCTACAGAGAAAAGAAAAGCAGAGAAATCGCACCGAATAGTAATTACACGCCGCTGTCCATATTACCATTCAAAAATTCATTTGATTGACTCTGCCTCTCTTCGTAAATGCAAATGCTCAGTATACCCCTCTAGGGCACAATCCTTGAAATTAAGACGAACATAGTGGATTTCTTGTTACGGTAAAGCACAACACTGGCAATCACTACCATTAAATTGTAACGAAATCTCGTCAACCATGCTTATCTTTCTCGGCGATAGGGGTAAGCCGATCTCAGAATTAAAGCAGGACAGTCTTAGCGTAAAATACTAGGTGGTCGCCCTCCATGTTTTCATCAAGTCTTGTGGTGGGAGCAGCCCAAGCATTACCTTTACTCTAATACTATTTAGCCATACCAGAAATTTACTGGTCCACTGCATACTTAGGCTCATCGGTCATAATATCAAGCCAGATCTGTTTGATATATACTTACTGCTGGGAGAAAAACTCGATTACCAGTAATCTTTCATGGCTCATGAATAGTTACTATACTTGAAGCAGCACAGGACGTGGGCAATGAACAATTGGGCAAATTTCAGAGTTTCGTGAAAATAATCAGCAGAAGAATCACAATAATTGCTACCGTTTGGCAAAAGATGCAATGCATTTTCTTGTCGTTACGTTGATGTTTCTCAGCTTTCTTGACACTGTCCACAGCTCGAGAAACACGAATGGAGGCTTGTTCGACGTTATAATCAATCCTTAAAAGAATATTTACGCAGGTATTCTGGGAAAAATACCGGAAGTAGGTCTAGTGTGTAGAAAATAGTTGAAAAGTATTGCTTTCATACAAAATTGAAACTCAGTAAATCTAACTCAAAACTCTAAGCAGATTAGTGCGAGAGAGATGAACACCTCAAATAGAAGCCAAGTCGAGATTATTTGAAAATATTTCTAAATCCATTCGACTAAAAAAACTGCGACCCTGGTAGAATCGCTCAATGGAAATTTTCCCTTCATGGTAATTGAATAACTCGTTCGAGTGAGAGCTATACCGTAACAAAGTAATCATAAACTCGAAGCTCACCGATCAAGAATAGTGCCTTGATCTACGACCATTGATGACAAATCTTTGAAGAGAGAATTCAGTTCTCGGATAGACGAATTCACCACCAGCACCTTCAAATAAAAACGAAACTTGAAGCAACGGATCTCACTACATATTTATAATGTAAATGGTAATGCAAAAAACCAAAAGTGGACTGCTTGAAGATTTAAATGACATAATGAATGGGGGTGGGTGAACGAAAGTCGATTATGTGGCGTAATTTGGAGAAACTGATCGACGCCGAGCGCTCAACATTTCTATAACCTGATAAAAGGGAACAGCTATCATTTGAACTTCGGCTTTCCTTTTGACTCATTGAAGTCTTACATGCAAATCAACTAATGGCGACCAGGACAGATACCAAATACACCGCTTGTCATCTTCAGTTTTTCTATCTCTGAAGCTTACTTGAGTCAACTGGGTGATTAAACTTACATAACAGGAAGTGCGTGCCTTACCACCTCCTACTCTTACTACCCAACTTTACCCACATAAGAAGTGCATTTTAAAGCTCTTAACACGTTGACGACCGATGTGGTATGCCGTCATACACTTTCGCATGGGGCTGGCTAGTTTTCCTAAACCTATTTGGCGTTTTCTTTTTCCTTCCACCACATTTACGTACATTATTGAATCCGAAAAACTATGTCTTCATCATTTATAACGAAAACGCTAAAGATTGATGCTTATTGATGAGAAAATACGAAAAATTTTTTGAAGTAGTGCGCGCACAACGGCGGTCGTCAACGTGTTAAAGACAAGGTCAAAACATCAGCCGACTAAGGTTTTACCGCCTTCACTGCGGCTCTATAAAAGTGCCTTTAGAACAACAGAACAATGCATACGCTTAAATTGTAGTTTTTCACGCATCACAGTCCTACCGCTTTTTTAATGTGAACAACTGCATATCCTCCACACGTTTCGTAAAGAAGACATTCATACATGACTTGTATGACATATGTGCACCAACAGCTCACAGATGATGCATGTCTCGATAAATGGGTCGGGGCGAAACGCAGCTCAACAGGAAGATAAGAAAAAAGACTTAAGACACGGGTTTCGGCTCGCACAGAATCTCGTGATTATCTAAACTTCTGCGATAATTGTTCTTGAAATGTATTCAAAAAAGGGATTTTCAGATGCTCGTAAGATCAAAATAGAGAAATCCGGAAGTTTTTCAAGGACTATTTCTTTTCTAATGAGAGCAAAGAAGGTTCACCAACGAATTGATGGCTTCGTCTCACTATAGCAACAATGGTGACTTCACCACTTACGTAAGAAATTAGCACCACACACGCCTCCGGCGACTATACCTCAACAGCCAATTTGAAATTTACTATCACTCTAACACTTCGCTAACATTCATTTACTATGTTTGAGTTGGACTACTGCACAATGTTCCGACATGTCTTCTTAGCGCAGACTCAGCAATAAGCAAATATGCAGTTGAAAAGATTCCTAAAAGTTTGATCGGCTTTTTTCAAGATTGATGGGTTGAAAATTCAGATGCTCCCTTGTGTCTCTTCAAAACGGAAACAAGCAACCTTTGCAGAACGAAACATGTCCGAAATCAATAAAATATAGAATTTGCCAAACTAAACATTTAGCGAGCCAGATAAAAAATAAAAGGGCACCAAATATTTAAATTCTCGCTGAATCGGATATTTGGACAAACCAACAATAAAACAAACTAGAATACTCAAAATCTCGACACTAATAGTATAACACTGATATAGGTCTTCAGTGAAATAGATCAGCAACCCTGATAAAATAGTGAAGTCACACGGAGAAAGAAGGAACTAAAAACGAGAGTGAACCGCTAATAAGAGAAAAAACAGAAGGGTTGGAGTCGAGTAAAATGAAAGAATAAATACAATCGAGTCTGAAACTCCTGACTCAAGAATGGAAAGACACCCTGGACAGACAAATATAACATAGAGTGGAAACGTGGAGGTTTACAAAAAGTTGAGTTCAAAGGATGGCTGCATTAAAGTGATGTTATGACCAAATGAATAATATGGGCGAAATCCAGTAACGAAAAAACACTGTTCATAGTGCTGTTCGCAGACCCGAGTTGTTGAAAATTTCCTTTTCAACGCCTCGACTACCGAATGATTAATCATGGTTTGAGCACTCTTTATTACTAGCTAAGATATTTCCTTGGATAAGAGAGCAGCATTTCTTGCTGATTGACCGTTTTACTGATGTGAAAGAATGGACAACTCACCTCTTTTTCTCGCTCTTTTACAGCTTGTTCGTTCATCATCATTTGCTGGATTTGGTCCATCGTATACTCCCGCGACGGTGTTACATCAACCAATTCACCCCACTGCAAATCATCAGACTGCCCAGTGGTGACCAGGAAATTGTCAACGTTGCTCGTTCGGTTCTAAAACACTACAGATACATGAGAAATATGACCGTCGCAAAATACACGCGGTTACAAAGTCGAACTATTGGGAACTTATCCAAGACAATGAGAGGTAGACTCGCCATCCCATATTGGCTTACAATTATTCAAACTGAGTACGTCCATTCTGCAATTGCCCATGCTGCTCATTTATACTATTTGAGAGTGAAACATAAGACTATTGACTTGTGACAATTAAAAGTTGGCTCTAGTCGAAAAATACCAATACTGCTGATTTGCAACTTGAAAAAACTAATTAGAATAATCTGAAAAGACAACTTCCGCGTTGAGCTAAATGAAGAATTAAACTGTTATCTGCTCATAAATGGTCGAAAATAGAATCGCAACAGGTGAGCAAACTTTTCAAAGCATTCGCAAACACCATCGCTTTGAACAAAAACGCGATAACTTAATGAATATTTCAAAAACTGAAAGACTTAGGAGGCTTCAGTTGTCTCGATAATATAGTCGTGATTTCAAGAAATAATATCTCGCCGTACACCGTAAAGTTTAGCACCACTAACAGAAGTCGAATCCAGAAAAAAAGAAACCAATCCAAAAATGCCTTTTACTGCGGAAAAAAAATTTAGATTTCCATTACGGGATGAAGAAACGTTCCACTTTGACCAAAAAACAAATTGTAAACCCAAACCCATGCAATATGACCAACCTTAATATCCTTGAGGTACTTTGACTGGCGCGTACGGAACTCGTTTGTTAACTGACTGAGAGTGAAGATCAGGGCGGAAACCGTGTTTTCGCGAAGTTTTCTCTCCGAGTTATTCTCCATTCGAGAACTCTGTGACGATATCATACTGAAACGAACAAAACAGATACCCAAATCAACACTGATGTAGTGAACCAATATATTAATGATTTATCAGCAAAAGGAACATTTCGAATTTGAGATTATTGAGGTGTGCCAAAACGGTGCAGGCCGGCTAGCATTCAAATTATGCCTATGCCATCCTTGGTTCGGGTAATTAAGTTACGAGACAGAAAAATTTCAGAAGTTTCTTGTTTATCACGTCTTGGGAAAGAAGAAAGCGCAAATCTTTGTTCCGCTTTAATGACTTTCATTTCTTTCATCCAATAGCCACCTTTTTGAATATTTTCTTTTATGATCTTTCTTCAGCCAGAAAATGCACAAAGCAGAAATGCCAGAATCCTCCCGGACTCGCCAGGAGGCCCATAGCGCGGTGAGAAAGCACAGACGTAGACAAGTCAGCGAATGAGTCGCAGCGTTTGTTGAGCGATGTAGGTCGTACTACAGATATCCTTAGCGCTACCGCAATATACAGGGGCATTTCGTAAACGCCTGTCCATGCTCGTTTAGTTTTCACCTGCCGTTCACGCAGGCCTCCTGTCGCGTAGCCAAATTCTCCCAGAACAGCTCAATATTTTTTGACAGACCTAATTCGCGCTTTACATCAAATTCGACTGAACAAAAATGAAAGCTGATAAATAACCAAAAAGGTAACCCACCTAATCAGTCGTTGACAATGTGCCAACATAGACGTGATTTGCTCTGTCATGCTTTCCATTCGTCTTTCTTCTGCCTCAAAAGCTTCATCGCCGAAATTCGGTCGTGAAATATGTTTCTGTTGTGCAGTGGCCAATTCTTCGACGCGACTTCGAACTCTATAAATCAATTCAAATTTAACAAGCTTGGAAAAATAAATGTCGGTCCCATAATTAAAACTTAGAATAAAGGCTATCTATTACGTTACAAAAAATTCAAGCATGCTAAATAAAGAATTCCACGATAAGTTTGGAGGTCGAAGAAATGAAAACCTACTAGAGGGAGGACAAGCGGACTCCTTCAAGGTGCAGACCGACACGCAGCTTGTAGCGAACGGGATGCTCCCGACAATCTAGCGTGGCCATCAGCGCGCTGCCATCGCCGCAGCCCGCCCTCCCGCTCGCTGTACGACTGAAAAACGGCGCCTGGCTCGGCTAGAGAGCCCTAGGACTAACATAAGCCCTGCAGGAAGGAGGGACTGTAAGGTAGGTGAGCAATTACTGTGTGGCAAAGTTTAAGCATGTGAGATCATAGTCATGAACCGCTGGTTAGTGAGTGTGACTCGCTGGGACAGAAAGCGACTTCTTCGCGTATTGCAGCGCAATACATTCTTAGCTGCGTAAACTCCTCGTCCACTCATGGTCCACTCATCATCAGAAGTGGACCTGAGGTTCTCCAGCAGCGTCAATGTTTCGCGCTGCGAAACGCGGAGAAGTTGCTTTTCTGACCTAGAACCACACCCCTGTAGAGCGCACCGGAGCATCTATTTGTGGAGGTTTAAAAGAACGAGTATGAGTAGTCCGTAAACGGAAATGAAGAAGACACTTATCGATCGCATAATCAATACCTAGCTACTACAAAAGAAATCGTGGAATCGCAAACTATGACCGCTGTATTAGGGTGCGATCAAACTTCGCGATTTGAAGTTTGACTGTGCAGCAGATACGTATAGATCGCATGGTGGATACGCACCTACTTCACACTCGAACTGCAAGTGCAAGGCAGTCGCAAAGTATGACCGCGCCCTTACGCACGAATTGCGTCTACTGTGAAAAGTCTGAGAGCTGCCTCATTCTTCGATGACCTTACATTCGGTGCAACAATTCCAGATCGAATTCGCGGGATAAAAAGGGTCGATAATGAAATAGTAGATGCCGAATTAACTGCAAATGAAAAAAGGGAAAAACCGCCACTGAAGCCCTTAAATGAGAACTCCCACTGTTTCGTTTTGAAATGAAGTAAGAGGCGGGCGGGGCGACCTGTCCGAACAAGCTTGCGTCGCCAGCATTTACTGCTGGCTCGTGCCATGTGCATCAGTAAAAACAAAGAAATATGATAATTAAATGAGTTAAGCAAGTAAAAACATCAAAAAAGGCAGCAATTTTGAACAGTTTGCAAGCAATCGCGCAAGGACCCGCAGCCAAGCACGCGATCTCCACGGCTGGCAAGTGGGCGGAGGAGCGTTCAAGTCCCTTCTAGCGGCTTCCAAAGTGTTTTGTTCAGCGACACTTTAAGGGTTGTTGAATAGAGCTTGCGCATCAGTTACACACCAGATTAGCATCGACGGTAAGGACTTTGCAGGGACTGTTGCTTTAAATAAACAACCTGCGAAAAACTGCACGATGCGCCTCAAGTCATGACCTAGTCCGGAGAAAAAATCCGCTACAGAAAAGCTAACAATGAACTCTGGGACGACAATGAACAATAAAAGAAGGTACTAACTTAGTTGGGGGGACCACGCGGCGGCGCGGCGCTTTGCTCGCCTGGCACCTTTCGCTTACCTCAGGAAATTCCGTGAGCCAGATAGGCACTCTGGTGACGGACTACTTGAACTCAGCCCTTTACCGCCTCTGCGCTCTCTAGCGGGTCCCTCTCCTCTCCAAGGCTTAGTCCTAGGGCATTCTCTAATCGTCTGTGCTCTAGCCATCGCGGCAGGACCATTGAGGAAAAATCAAGTAGTCCGTAAACCGAAGTGGGTGGGGCTCTAGGGGGTGGGACGCAATCGTTTTGTATCCTACTGTATAGTAAAGGGCGCCATTCGTTACGGGTCCCACTGCCTCCTGCTACAGTGAACCCTTCAATGTGGAGCGGGGAATCCGTGAGCCAGGGGCAGTGTCGCCAGTCTAGGGGGGTGGGGGGTGAGGGCAGACACTTGACATGCGTGAGAAGCTGGAATGTTCGAATTCAACCGCGATCGCTTGGGATCCCCGCGGGTTAAGGCAGTGGGTCCCGCAACGAATGGCGCCCTATACTAGTCAGTAGGAGTACAAAATGATCACTCCCTAGGGGTGGGGGGGGGCAGTCACTTGACATGCGTGAAAAGCTGGAATGTTCGAGTTCACACTATCTCGCTCGAGAGAGCGCCAGGCGAGCAAAGCGCCGCGCCGCCGCGTGGTCCCCCAACTAAGTTAGCACCTAAAAGAGAATTATCAGTATTGCCTACCGTCCAAACTCGAACTCCACTTCATCGCATGTGTGGATCCACATCGGCTGTCTGGGCGAGTCATCAGAATGGTCTCCGCCTTCTTCAAGACTTACAAGGCTCATTTTTTCTTCTGGAAAAACAGCATGAATATTATACAGTTGAGTGAGGACAACAAATGGTGACTCATGAAGAGAAAAAACTCTCACCTGCAATGTTCTTGCTCCGATTTGAGCTAGGCATTGCACTGTTCATATAAATATATTTATTTTGTTGTGCATTTGAGCGAAGCAGTGTGAATACTTCAGTGAGATTTCGGCTCACACCCAGCGTGGGTTCTTTACGCGAACGTAAATCCATTTCTGTAAGTTGCCAATGCAACATTGAGTAGTAGTAATCGAAGAAGAAACCATGACTAAGCTATTAATTGGTTTCCGATTCCTGACGGTTCGAATTATTGGAAGCCTGCTGCTATAATTATTCACTAGAGACTAGCACCAAACATAAGAGAAAAGAAAGATTCAAAAACTCTTCAAAACAACCCTGATGCATTTATCAAACGGTGATGATAAAAAAGTGGCAAGATTCTTATAATCCCTGCATCAAAGCTACCATGAAGATGATTGGAAAAGAAATAAAGAATTTGACTGCAAAAGTAAGCTTCTAAACAAAAAGAAAACCTGTGCTGAACATAAAATCGTTATCAGACGCGCCGCACTGAGCAGGCGCCAACCTCTCGCTGCGCTGGCGTCGACTCTGTGAGGCTTTGAAAAGGAGCACCGAAGCTCGCTTTCACTCCTTTTCGGTTCTCTTCTAAAGCCCTTAAGGACGTGGTTTACGATGAAAAGGCAGCCCATCAGATATTAAGGAAGAGGTGATCAGTGGCGCAGGAATGAAGAAAATCCATGATCGGTTGGTCAAAATGGCCCAGAACCGAGAAATGGACCGCTTCTTGCCTGTTGATTTCCGCATTGATGCGACTCTCATCGGTGCTGCCCTCTTCAGCGCTAACCTTCTGGCTGCTGAACAGCCTCATCAAACGCGAGGGGGCGTGTAGCGGCGCCAGCGGCGCGAGTATGGTACAGGCGGAAATTTATCAAAAAACTCCCATCGTCCACCCCCTTAGAGACCCTCTGCCTTTCGCCAGGTATACTTCTTCTACTTTGACCTTCGACCTAATCGTGGAATTCTCCTTTACGAACACGGTAACAAGCAAACTAATAGTGGCCTAAGCTCACGTGATGTAGTGGCAAGTGGCGCGCTTACCACGCGAGCGGTCCGGGGATCAAATCCTGGGTCGTGAGTCGCCCGGGCCAACCAAGCCTTCCATCCCTCCGGGGGTCGGTTAATTGGTACCAGACTTGTCTGGGAGGATAAAAACACTGACTTGAACATCGGCTGGCCCCCGCAAGTCATTGTATAGGCCACATCGCATTCAAATGCCACTACGTAGAATGTAGGAAGTAGAAATTGCGCTGTAGAATTCCAAAAGGAATTGCGTCAACTGCAAATGTTATCCTAGGTAAAAGCCTACGTTCAAACCGGGTGGCAGGTGTAAGGGTTACTTTTGCTTATGAGAAGGCCTAATCCAACCTGATACGCTCATTCACAATCTGGAAAAGATTTGGAAACAAACGGTGTCAATAGTGATGGGGATAAATTGAGACCTTATGACTTCGGAAGAGCCGAACTCCAAAGTATGCTAGGCACCCCAATGTACTGTGCGGAAACAATGGAGCGCTTCGTGTAGGCCCGTTTTCTGGTATTTGCTTGTTACATATAGTATTTGATGACCGTGGGCATAGCGTAGTGGAATGACACCCTTCTCAACTTCCTATACGCCGTCGAGTCGAGCGTTGCTGGAGGGTGTGGTCCGCTAAAACAGAAAGCGACTTTTCCGCTTTTCGCGCGCGATTCACTTTTCGCTGCGGGAACTTCAGGTCCACACCGCGGCGAGCCTGAGGTTCCTGCAGTTAAAAATAGTTTCGCGCTGGAAACACGGCTATTCTCCTGGGGCGGTATTCAATCCTTCCCCCAGGGGGATATATCCCCCTACTCTGATTCAATCCTCTGGGGGGACAAAAAAGGGTTGCGTCATAGGACCTCGCATACCTCTGTGTTTCTACCTGCCAGACAGTTAGAGCAGCGCGACCCCTCAGGGGAAAGAGTGCTTCATCAGTGGAGGGTAGTAGCGCTGCTCTAACTGTCTGGCAGGTAGAAACACAGAGGTATGCTAGGTCCTATGACGCAACCCTTTTTTGTCCCCCAGAGGATTGAGAGGATTGAATCAGAGGAGGGGGATATATCCCCTGGGGGGAAGGATTGAATACCGCGCCTGTCCTAGTGCAACCACACCCTTGCTGGACCTGCCCATAATGGACGAGTTGCGCGCGTCGATAAGTGCGTAGCGGGCGCACGTGTTGTGAGAAGCCCTTCCATTTTATTACCTTTCCAATATTTTTTCCTTTTAGCGCGCATATGATGATAGCTCTCTTGAAGCATCGCTTCATGGCAATTGTGACTGCTTGCTGAAATCGCTCCTGGACCAGTTTTCAGCCCTGTAGGGGCCCTAGGCGCTATCCTTTTTCGCTGAGAGGGGAGAGAAAATCCACCGAATTTTCTTATTCTTACCCAAGGAGGGAAATAGCAAGTGGCTTCGTAACGCAACAGGATCGGAGGTAATGCTCCAGAAGCTGCCTTATTAGACAATTCGCTCAGTTGTTCCAGTAGTTTTAAGCATCGCGCATGCCGGTTACAAGTGTGTGCTATCTTGAACGATTTTATCTCTATTAGCCACCGTTCGATGAACTGGTCGCGAAATGCAGTTAGTTTCTACATTCTGTTAGGCCGATGTCTGACTTTGCCCGACTTTCGGACCAGCGATTCGCTAGCGGCTCACTGGATTCGCAAAGTCTGACATCGGCCTTACTCTGCTCGGAGCTTTCCTTAACTTTTCATTTGTTACTTTCACTTCTTTATATAAACTAGAGCTTTGGTGTGTCGGTTCGTCTGTGTGTATTTCGTTCTTTCCGTCCGGAGACCAACTTCCTAAGGTGATGCCAGAGTCGCGTCCGTCGCATGGCTCGGCTGATTTTGCGCGATTTTCGCGAAAATCGCAAAAATCAGCGAAACGTGCGACGGATCGTGGACTCTGACATCAGCCTAACAGAATCGGGAGCTCGAAGGGCTACGCTTCGGTGTTGATGTTCATGATCATGATAACACTCACACGGCTATATAAACACTGATCGGAGGAAAGAAAAAGGGCAGGAAGGGGAGAAAAGGAATGGGTAGGAGGGGAGGAAAGAGGTAGGGAGTGCACCGCTTTCAAGATTACGGTCCGATCCGGTGCCGAGGTGTTATTATAACGTGATTGTGAATACCCAAAGGCTTTACAAACACTACTTAGTAACTGCCTTTATTTCATAACGGGCAAAGGCAGCTGAAGATAAAGAAAGCGGAGATTCTGTAATAGTGCGCTTGTGTGAGAGCTCCCAGACAGCACAACAAAACGCTGAATTGCCTAGCCTCACGGTTGACAGATGTCCGGAGACCTTACGGCCCCTGGTCCCTACGTCGTATAGCGGTCATGGCCGAGTAATCTCAGGCCGGTTCCTACTCCCATACGCTCACCCGTTCAACAAATGTTCAGAGCACCGACGAAGCGTTTGAATTGCAACCTCTGAACCCCCTATATTTAGTGGATCCAGACCTTTCAGTCGTTGCCAGCAGCTCTGTGGCTCAAAACCACGTCACCTGAAAGGATATAACTCGGTTGAAAAGGTTTGTCAAATCAAAGCTGACGCTGGAGCAGGAAAACTATTCATTTCGAGTTTTTTTGCTGCTGTCATCGCGTATCTCATTAATAGGGCACTTGTTTCCCTAGCAATAGCGTGTCATGTGGCTAGAACTCACCATCTGGTTTATTAAATGACTCGTTAAGCAACGATTTGTTGTGAGGGAGAAGGGCCCAAATGCTGAATTGATTCGACGCGAAACAGCTCTGAGATAAACGCGTATCGGCCCACTTTATTCCATGTGATGTCGTTCGATTTGGTTTTTGTTCAGGTCCTGTTGGACGGCTGCCTGCAGAGTTAGCGGACTCGTCCGTTGTTAAGAGTCCTTCGCTCTATGTCTTCGGATTCCATGAAGGGTTAGTTTGCTTCTGAAATGATTGTGGTTAGGATAGTACCCTGATAAGCACTACACTAATAGATAGCCTTGTCCATTTCAGTGTCCGATTTGCGAATCACTCTATGCACAGAAGACGATGACGATATCATATGCATCGACCAGAAGCAGTCTTTATTTTTTCAGGTGTGCATTTTAGAAATTTTCTTGGAATTGATCTGTTTGTTTTTGGAATTCTTAAAATGCTAACGTATAGGCTTTCTCATTTTTTGAAAATCCTATTCCATAAACCAAACCAGACAAGCCTTATAACTCGAGCACATATTTTAAGAGATAGGAAGTCAATCACGGGCTATACTTGAATCTTACTTTAGTTCCATAGTGATGAGTTGAACTTCTTCTCTTTCATTACTCTTCTTATCTCTTTCTCTCTCTCTGAGATGCCACTTGTGTTTGTAAGAGCTGAAATATCAATCTTTTGTGAATTAATGTAATTTTTGCCATCGCCAGCCTGTGTTAATCCAGCTTAGTTGAAACTCCTTTTTGAACTCCATAAATTTCTAAATTGTGCAGGTGGTCGTTCCAATTGCTAGACCGTGCATGTTGTTCTTCTAGTTGCTAGAACGATTCTCTTTCACAAAGTTCTCATCTAGCCCCTCCATGTATCGAGCATTTATTTTATTTCCTGACTACGGTAATTTCCGAGTATCTCAAGTGTAACATCTCCTTCGTCAATTGCTCCACGGTTCGTTCAGGCCTTTGCATCTCTGAATGATCTTCGCTGCAATGGTCAACTATGTGATATTGTACTCGTAGTGGAAGGTCGAAGAATTAGTGCCCATAAGGTAAGGACTGTGGTGCCTTCAATTTCTTTCTCGATTCGAATACTAACCTGGGGCTATTCCAGTTAAGGCCGATGTCAGACTTTGCGAATCGCGCGATTCGTGCGTCTGCGTTGCGTAGCGAGCCAGTGATAGATCAATTGCTGGTACCGCAATCGCGCCGCGTATAGTAATCCTGCGAATCCTACTCGCGAATCTGACATCAGCCTAAGAGGGAGGCATCAGCGGCAGTTTTTCGTAGAAAGCTAGGGTACTACGAGCCAGTGCGTGTTAGCGCAGTCTAGGGTGGTGAGATGAGGCATCATTGACATGCGCGAAAAACTGGAATGTTCGAGTTCACCGAGAAACTGCATCATGCACCCTTCCCCCTAATTGAATACACCGCTAACGTGTTTTGATCGTCTCTCGTGAGCATGGTGTTTTTTTTATGATGACTTTAGGTTGTACTAGCCGCTTCTATGCTCCATTTCGTGTGATGTTCACGACAGAAATGTTAGAAGCTAATCAAACCGAGGTTGTTTTACAAGGTGAATTTTCTGACCATCTTTTAAATTTCAATTTTCTCGATTAGCGCACTCTATCTTTTGCATTGACTATTTCAAGCGTAAGCTTACCGAAAATTTTATCTAACAGTATAGTACAGTATAGTTCAGACAAGGAATGTTTAGTGATGGAGTTTGGAGAAAATAATTGTTTCTATCGTCTATGAGTAAACATATTTAGATCTTCCAGTAGTGTCCACGTTCGACTTTGTATGAATCATATTTAGATCTTAATTATGATACCCTTGAACAACTTGTCTCGTTCGCATATTGTGGTGAGCTGCGTATATCAGCAGGAAATGTGCAGTCGATAATGATTGGGGCAAATTTCCTACAGGTAGTTTTTTCAAAACAGTTGAAATGACTAGGGTTTTTTTTTGAGTAGCCTTGCTCGTTTCTTCTCATTTGTGGTCCTCTACCCAGTTTTTATTTTTCATTTGTTTATTTGTTATTTGATCGATCAGGCGTATCTAAATAACTTGAATTACAAATCATCTCCATTATTAGAAAACTACAGTAAACAGTTTTTACTGAGGAACTTCTCTTACAGCTGGACGGTGTGGCTGAAAAATGTGCAGAATACCTTCAAACTCGCTTACACCCTTCGAATGCTCTTGCAATTCGTGCGTTCTGTTCGGCACTTGGTTGCAGGTTTGTTTTTGTTCCGATAAAGGGACGTCTCTTATTGATTCCATTCTTCTTTTGTCGTAGTCGAACGATTTTGTAGGTCAGTGGTATCGGCTGCCGATCGTTTTGTGCAAAAACACTTCGTGTCGGTGTGTCGCAGCGATGAATTCGTTCAGCTGTCGGTTGATGATGTAGTCGAACTCTTATGTATGGACGGGCTTTACGTTGAATCTGAAGAGGCGGTGTTCGAAGCCGCGTTTCGTTGGATTCAACATGATTTAGAACGTCGGAAGAAGTTTGCATCGAGGTAGCTTTGCATTTTGATTATCAAAGTTGATTTTTGTCGTGGTATTTTTGGATGGATGGATTCATGGATGTTGCAACAACGCGCTCGCTTGAAAACAGTTAAAGTATTCGGAGGGATGATGCACTAATGAATCTTAACATGTCTTTCTTGGAGAACGATAAAGTTTGTGGGAATGATAAGATCTACGTCGGATGTAGCTTCTTGAATTTTGCTGCAAAAAAGCATTCAACATAGTTTGAATGATGATATTGCACTCCTCCTGTCACAGAAGGGAAACCCTCGCGGGCAGACTCAGAAAATAAGATCTTTGGTTTTAATATCTGATTTGGAATCTGAAAATTTGTAACCTGTCCACCGCTCGGAGCTGTTAATCATATCGTACTAAGGTGTAATCTTCAATAAAATGTAGCACTGTTCTGATTAATGGCTTGTTGAAGGCTACTTGCTTGTGTTCGGCTTCCTCTGCTGAAACCATCGTTTCTGGCTGATCAAGTAGCTGGTCATCAACTGGTTCGAGGAGATCTGGCATGCAGAGATCTTGTGAGTATAATCCTTACTTTAACGTCAATTCATCTAGGTGAATCCCTGCTTGATAAGTTGTTCTTCTTAAGGTAGACGAGGCAAAGGACTACCATCTTATCCCGGAACGACGACCATATCTACGCTCATTTCGAACAAAGGCTCGATGTTGCAATGATGTTCCCGGTTTGATGTTTGCAATAGGTAAGTTACAGTATATCACTCTTAACCAATTTATTACATTAATGACACTTTAGGCGCTCACATCAATAGAATAGCTTTTCATGTTAACTAGGCATCCTTCGAAACCATTTCAGGAGGTCTATCTACCGGCGGAGATTCGTTATCCACTGTCGAAATGTACGATCCACTAACAAAGCGATGGACGCCAGTTCGTTCGATGACTAGTTTTCGTTCTAGAGTTGGCATAGCTGTACATGATCGTAAGGTGAGCTTCTGTCAAACTCCTGAAGGTTAGTGACTGTTTGGAGTTGCATCTATTTATTCCAGATATACGCCATTGGAGGGTTCAATGGACATGACCGCCTCAAGATAGTCGAGTCTTACGACTACAATAAGAATGAGTGGACGCCGGTAAGAGCTTCCACTTACCTTCGATCAGTTGCGGTTGATAACGCCTTGTTTTTTCCGGTTGCACCGTTAACGAAGAAGCGCTCTGCTCTTGCCGCTGCGTTCTTCAATAGCAAGCTTTACGTGTGTGGTGGTTATGATGGTATAACAAGCCTTGCAACTGTGGAGGTAAGGTTTACTGTATGAAGCTTCTTTTATTTTTCAATATTATTTGTGACCCAGGTGTACTGCCCAGAAAAGAACATGTGGGAACTTGGAGAATCTATGACAAAGCAGCGTAGCGCCGCCGGCGTAGCAGTTCTTGACGGATACCTATACGGTAAGTGTGAGCTGCTTAAAAGTGCTGTGTGCTTGTTTGACTCTTATTGTTTAGAGTTTGATACTCAAAGCATCGAAGTGAAAACAGTTGCATTCCTTGGAAGTTTCTAATATTACGGTTCTAAATTTCGCCTTCGGTCCGGCATATTAAAATAATTTTAGCGTGTAGATGTTTAGTACTTACGAAAGACCTTAACTCGTAAATCAAGGTGTTACACCAACTAACTATATCGGGTTTTTTTGTCTCTCTCTCTTTGACCTTATGGTATGCACCAACGGCTCTTTTATGTGATAGAAGTGGCTTTCAGTGATGGAGCTCACGACGGTCATTGATCAATTTTTTCATCGTGGAGCGATTTTCGCCTGAGAAAGGACAGTGGGAGGCCGTGCCCTCGATGCTTTCGAAACGATGTCGGCTTGGCGCCACAACGTTGAACGGCAAAATTTATGTGTGCGGAGGGTGAGTTTAAAGCCAGATACTGTTGAAAGCACATTCCACGATTAACTGCTTGACACAATCTTTTCCATTAGTAAGGTCCGCTGGCCTCCACCCGGACTCATAGTCTCAATTTCGCGACCCCATAGTGAGTGACAAGAGCGTCAGCCTTCATTTTTTTGGTAGGGAAGCGCCTTGTCAGGGAGAATCCTCTCCTTGATGGAAATGGGTATGTGGACACATAACATCGCAGTGTTGTGGAATGTGCTTTCGAGGAACTGCATAGTATTTATTCTGTTACCGATATAATTATTGTCTTCAGGTATGATGGTGCTCAATTCCTTAATAGTGTTGAATGCTTTGATCCAGTGACAATGAGGTGGTCACCAGTGACACCGATGAACATCAAACGCAGCCGTGTGTCGCTGGTTTCGAATGCGAACTCGATATACGCTATCGCTGGGTTTGCTTTCTTCACTATTCTTTTTAGAAGAGAACATATATTCGGAATTTTCCAGGTATGATGGCATGTCGAACCTTTCTTCAATGGAAGTATACCGTGAAGAGACGGATCAATGGGAGTTGTCGACGCCACTCGGATCACATGAAGGAGGTGTAGGTGTGGGAGTCATCCCAATCCCGCCTAACATGTTAGCTGGATAATTTTTCAACAGCGGTATCAAACTGTAAGTATACGGGAGCATAATTTGTACTTTAGAAATGATCATTCCTTTCATGTACACTATGTAATGAGTTGGTTTTCTTTAAGATAATCGCTGTTCAGTATCCACTTGTAGTTATGTGTATAGCATGTACATAGTCTTTAATTTTTGAAGGAACCTTAGCGCACCTTACTCGCTAGGTTACCGGAGTGGATCCAAAAAGTTCAAAATTGTAGGTTTTCAAAAGCAAGAACCAGTTCAAGACGCTCTTTATGACAGCAGGACGCCGAGTAGTTGCTTATAGATAAACTTTACTATAAGCAACTACTCGGCGTCCTAGGTTGACTTTATAGACTTCTACTCTTAACTTCAAAGCTGGAAATGGAAAACTCCGAATGAAGCCCTCTTTTTCTCAGTTGTGTAGGTATCACACAAGCTACGGCCAAGTGATACTGTATGCCGGGAAGAGGATTGACATCAAAGAGACAGAAAGCGGCGAGCTGGGAGGAACCCGACTCAGTGGGCGTGATTCTAACTATTTTAATCCTTTAGCGTCATACCCACGCATTCCTGACTCCCGAAATTCGCACAATCTTACATGGTTGGTTAACCTTTATTACTACTTTTGTTCTTGGAGGGTATCGCTCCCCACTTAATCGTGGGATGTGACGAAGCAAAGCCAATGGCTAGATCGCGAAGTGTAGAAAACGACCATAGTGTGTGCACCACGACGTTTGTGGTAGCTATAATACTTTAATTTCCCACACTTTCGCGAAGGCTCGGGTCTGTTTTCCGACGGGGAACATCTGCTTACTAAATGACCATTTACAATAGTTTCTTTGCTTTGACCGTCTTTATTTTCAGATTGTAAGCGTACATGAAGAAAACTCGTTAACTATACACCATTTCTCCGTCCGTAACAATTGACCAAAAATCGCATCTATGACTGATGAACAGTTCGGTTCGTTTCTGGGCGCTTCCCTAATTGTATCGTGGAAGCCCAGCCCAAGAAGCTCGGATGTAGTCGCGAGTCTCGCCGAAACCCGGGAGCACAAGGCAAGGTTTTCTTTCTCACTTAGGTCGACTCATAGTTTGCGAATCGACGATGATCCAGCGAGTCGAACTATGTACCAGTGAGTTCAACG